GGGTTGGGGCTCGCGCGCGTCGGCGGCCCTCGATGCGGGAAGTTGGCACGCACGCAGGATTCGGGATGCAGGGTTGGGCAGTATTGGTGCTGCCGGCGTTGTCGTTCTTGATCAAGATGCATTGGCTGTTTGCCTCTTCACGCCGCTGATGACGGACAGTATTGCTAGGCAGATACAGGTGGACGGCAGCACTAGGCGTACAGCAGCGAGCGTGCAGGCGTTGCTGCTTGGCGGGCGCCGACACGTGGCGCGTCTCCGATAGCTAGCTGCATCTCTACGCCTGCATGTTGATGTGAATATGACCTACTTGTGCGGACGCGTGGTTTGCAAGCGCGCGTCTTGTGGCTGCCGGTCGACACTCCTCGCAGCCTGCTGCCGGTGTACACCGCACCGCAACTGCGTGATGCGCACCGATTGTGTACTGCTGTGCACTGTACATCGCCAAACACGGCTTCTGTGGTACTGTACCATTTCGTTTCCTGACTTGCATCAATTTGCAACAGTAGCAGGCTGCGAGACCCCACAGCCTCGGCTGCTGCCCCTGGCACGTGGCAGCAGACCTCCGTGGCGCTGCTCACAGCGCGCACCGGGTTGCGTGCTGCACCAGCGCAGGCGGCCTGCACGTGCGCTGCCCCGCAGTGTCCGATGCATGCCTACATTTGCATAATGCTGGCCGCATTCGCGTCGGGCGCGTAGCTGCTGTTGTGCCGTCACAGTTCAGAGCGTTTCCATGTTGCTGCCTTGAAGACGTGTTTAGATGAGCCATTGCTGGTTGGGGGGTAAACGGACCAACATTGTCTGTGGCCGCACACCACAGTCCTGACACCACACGCACGTGACGCTGCTTTGGCAGTGGAAGGTGGCGACTTTGGGACGCCCGGCCGCAGTGCTGAGCGCTGCTGTTCCCAGGAGGCCCCCGCGTGTTCGCCCAGTCGGGCGGCTGGGCTGCGGCGGCTCAGCAATGACACTAGCCACAGGCGCACGCAGTGCTGCAGCATCGCAGGTCTCGTTGATCGCTTTGTCTCACGATTTCGGGCTGCTTGAAGGCGTGCATCACAGTAGATTGACACCCTCGCAGCCCTCCACACGAACGTGCAGAGGTCGAGGGCATGTGTGATGAGGTTGGTTGACCCGGTGAACGAAACCGGTCAACCCCCGTCAAAGCACCGTGCTGGCGGCCCAAACCTGCTGTAAGGAATGTGACATGGCACTCAAGTAAATGCGCAATCAACACACGCACCGCGCCCTCGCAATGCCAGAAGCACCTGAGTCGCGGTGCTGCAAGGGTGCATTGAAGGAGGACAGAGCAGGTTCCGGTTGTTGGGCCGCGGAGGGGAGGTGGGAGCGAAGGGACGCGATGCAATGGCGGGACCAAATTGAGAATGCAAAGGAAGAAAATAGAAACGCTGCCTGCTGCTGTTGCTGCTGCTGCTGGTGGTGGGGGAGGTCGTGCTGCTGCAGAGAGAAGCTGCTCATGCTTGCAGCCCCCTACTCAGCCAGCGCGGACGCCGGTGTCGTGGGCGCCGCCCCTGAAACGGCTGCCGCCGAGCCCGCAGCTGCTGCCGCTGCTGCGGCACCAGCCTCCCCCGCTGCTGCTGGCGGCTCGGCCCGCCTCTGCCGCTTCGACTGCCGGGAGCCAGTCGCCCGCGCGCCTGCCCCTGCTGCCATGCCCTGTCCGCCGCCTGCGACGCCGCTGCGCAACACCTTGCTCGTCGGCCCCGGTTCATGCCCGCCGCCACCGCCGCCGCTGCCGCCCACGGCCGCTTCCTCCCTACTTGCCGCGGAGGAGGTGCTGGCATTAGGCCCGGCCGCCGCCCTGCCGGCCCCATCGGCACCCCCAGCGGCGCCTGCCGGCGAGCCCGCCGCCGCCGCCGCCGCCCCGCCCGCCGCCGCGGCAGCCGCCGCCCTGCCCTCGTCCGTCTCCCCCTGCAGCCCGCCCTTCCATGACTCAGGCGTCCCCGCCAGCTGGCGCTCGCGCACCCGCCGCACGCGCGGCAGCTGCACCGCAAGGTTGTACCGCGGCGGCGGCGCGAGGGGGTCGCGCGCGGACAGCAGCAGCCAGCTCAGCGCCTTGCGCAGCGCGCGGCGCTCGTTCGCGAGCAGCTGCGCGGGCGTCAGCTTGGAGGTCCGGACGTCCCAATCGTTCAGGCGCGAATAAGAACCGGAGAAGGACCGCCGCGC